GGGTTTTGGCTTTTTATCCAATTTGCCTGTCTGTGTCTTTTGATTGGGGCATTTAGTCCGTTTCAATTTGGGATTGATATTGACATATATGAGTTCAATACTGTCATTTAATGCTGTTCTGCCCATTAGTTGATGTAGATTCTTCATTATGGTGATGCTCTTTACCTTTTGGTATGTTTTTGGAATGGCTGATACGGGTTGTTCCTTTCTATGTGTAATGCTTCTTCTATGTGTAACGATACTTTTTTTTTTGTTTTTTGAGACAGAGTTTCGCTCCTGTTACCCAGGCTGGAGTGCAATGGCGCGATCTCGGCTCACCGCAATCTCCATCTCCCGGGTTCAGGCAATTCTCCTGCCTCAGCCTCCTGAGTAGCTGGGATTACAGGCACGCGCCACCGTGCCCAGCTGATTTTTTGTATTTTTAGTAGAGACGGGGTTTCACCATGTTGACCAGGATGGTCTCGATCTCTTGACCTCGTGATCCACCCGCCTCGGCCTCCCAAAGTGCTAGGATTACAGGCTTGAGCCACCGCGCCCAGCCACGATACTTATTTTTAAACTAATCTTGCTCTGGGAGGCACAGAAGACCCTGCTGCAGCCCTGGGGATTCCACAAGGCCAAACCCCTTCCTTCCTTGGTTTTCACGCCTGTTACAATTCAGGCACGAACCATAATCACCTACAAAGAAGGAAACTCAAACCTTCTGAACCCGAAACCTTGAACTTGTGTCCTTGAACCTGCTTTTCCAGCAACACCCCAGGGAAGTGCCAGGGATGCCTCTGGGACTTCAGACATCAGGCCGGGTCTGGAGCCACCCACAGCCCCAGAGGACTGCTGCATGAATGAACCCAGGCTGGAGTGCAGTGGAGCAATCTCGGCTCACTGCAACCTGCACCTCCCGGGTTCAAGGGATTCTCCTTCCTCAGCCTCCCGAGTAGCTGGAATTGACAGGCACCTGCCACGACGCCAGGCTAATTTATATATATATGGTTTTTTTTTGAGACGGCGTTTCACTGAGCTGGGACTACAGGCACGCACCACCATGCCCAGCTAATTTTTCTATTTTTAGTAGAGACGGGGTTTCACCATGTTGACTGGGATGGTCTAGATCTCTCAACCTCATGATCCACCCGCCTCGGCCTCCCAAAGTGCTGGGATGACACTCATCAGCCGCCGCGCCTGCACCAACTGCACTGCTAAAGGGGCCAGCTGTCCAGGAGTGAGAGCCAAGATCCAGGAACCATGCTCCTCCCCTCAGCAAATTCAGCAAATATGTGGCACCAGCTGTATACCGCAGCTGGGACCTGAGGCGTGAAAGAAGCCACTTCTGAGCACAGGAGCAGGGTGGCCTTGGTCGTGGCAAAGACCGCAGGGCCGAGGTGAGGACGTGCCTCGGGGTCCCAGCCTGGGCAAGGAGCCCAGAACTCTCTCAGCAGGAAGGGGAGGCCACGAGACACTGCCAAGACTGTGAAAGACCCTCGCCCCTTCTCCCTCATGCCACTCCATCTTGCATTTGGGGGAACTGAGGCAGAGGGGCCCAGGAAGGACCCAAGACACCCCGCCAGTCATAGGAGGCCTTGGGACTGAAGCCAGCTGGGGTCTCACTACTCATTCAGCTGCCACCAAAAACACCCTCCACAGCAGGATCCGGCCCTGGATGCTCCCCGATGCTCCTCTCGGCCCAGCCCCACCCGGCTCTTCCCTCAGCCCGGCCGTCTTTCTGTACACCTTCCCATCACCGATCACTCCCCCACCCCGCACACTACCTCCCCCCACCCCGCCACCTCAAATGCCTCCTCCGGCCAGGGCTCCCCTGCATTCCCCCAACCTCTTCAGCCCAGCAGAGAGGGGATGGTTCCACAAAGGCGAATGGTTCCCTCCCTGGTGCCAGGCAGACGCGGGCCAGTTTCCCACTAGGGAGGGGCGATGCTGGCCTCTGCACGGGGACCCAGGCGCTGGGGCCGGAGCTGCCCCGCTTCTCCCTCTTAAACCTCCCGTGGTGCCTGCAGACACCTCGCCATCAGGGACGGTTTCTGCACCACCAGGTTGTGAGTTAAAAGGGCAAACGTGAAAAGGCAGAAACAGAAAGGAACCCCCTGCCAACTCCATTTTCAAAGAATTAATATTCACAGGCCGGGTGCGATGGCCCACGCCTGTGATCCCAAGCACTTTCAGAGACCGAGGTGGGTGGATCAGGTCAGGAGTTTGAGACCACCCTGGCCAACGTGGTGAAACCCCATCTCTACTAAAAATACAAAAAGTAGCCAGGTGTGGTGACCGGTGCCACCTGCTAATCCCAGCTACTCGGGAGGCTGAGGTGGGAGACTCCCTTGAACCCAGGAGGCGGAGGTTGCAGTGAGCAGAGATCACACCACTCACACTCCAACCTGGGCGACAGAGCAAGACTCCGTCTCAAAACATAAATGAAAAATTAATATTCACACAAATATCACCCACCACCACCCCAGGTACCCCCAGAATACCTTCCTCCTCTCTTTGCCCTGGATGGGACCTAGGCAGAGGCTGGCTTTCTGGAGGTTAAGAGCGTGGACACCGGGCTGGGCTGCCCAGAGGGAAACCCAGACCCACCCCTGAGTAGACGTGTGCCTCTGACCGAGCAACCTGACATCCTGCGCCTCTCTTTCCTCCTGGGTAAAATGGGTTAGCGCCCTCCTCACCACTACAATAATTCATATTATTAAATTAATTCTCAGAGGTGCTTCCAACAGCCACTGGCCCAGCGCAGGCTTAGGGAACCTTGCTTTTGAGATTCTTGGGGTCCTTTTCCACACTGATTGAGGACATGAGTCCTAAGCTTTGAGGGGATGGGGCCCCGTGCACCCCAGCTTGACAATGTCTAAATCCTTTTATAAATCTGATTTTAAAATGCCATAACTCCGCTAGTCCTGAAGACTGGCCCCACTAACCCCATTCCCTGCCTGCATAGCTCCCCTTCACCACTCATCTGCCCTGGTGGGGCTCCCTTGGCCCACACAGGGGCTCGTGACCCCTGCATTCCTCAGAGCACAGAGCGGAGCCTCAGCCTGCCCAGGCCTCCGGGTGACCTCACTCAAGGTAGGTGCAAGGAGGGGGGGCTTCACTCCTCCTATCAGCCTTCCCCCCAAGCCCCAGGATCAGCCCACCTGCCCTCCAGCCCACCAACCACTCCTCTGCAGTCAGGGGGTCGCTGGAGCTGCCCAGGGGAGTGGGTGGCTGGTGTGGGCCTCCACCTGCCAGCACCCACCACTGCAGGTCATGCTGGAGGGGAAGGGGAGTGGGTGGCGGGTGTGGGCCTCCACTTGCCAGCACCCACCACTGCAGGTCATGCTGGAGGGGAAGGGGAGTGGGTGGCGGGTGTGGGCAGCCACCTGCTAGCACCCACCACTGCAGGTCATGCTTTCAGCAGCTCCCTCCCCACTGCAGCCCTGTCTGGTCAATGGGTGTGGAGCCGGATTTGCAGTGGGGCCAGGCCAACCAGCAGCTCTGGAAGTCCCATCCTTCCGGCTCACTGTCCGCATTTTGCAGGCCAGAGCCCAGACGCTGACCAAGCTCTCCCAGTGGGGCCAAAGGCAGGGTGGGAGGGGCCGGACAAGGTCCCTCTGGGGGCTTCAGGGCTCCTCCCACCCCTGGCCTGTCTTGAAATCCAGGCTTCCAGTCAAAGCTGTATTCGCCTCTCAGGAAGACCTCAGGGTGAGGAAGTGGATCCCAGAGTCTTCTTCTAGGCTCTGTCCAGGACTTGTGTGCCCTAGGCCTCAGTTTCCCCAGCCAGTCACTAGGGGTGCGGAGAAGCCAGAGGAAGAGAGATCCCCATAGCCTCCCTGCCAAGCTCTAGGGGTCCAGGGTCCATGGGGGACGTCCTGGGACGCCCAGGCCTGGTGGAGGAGCGACAGGCGGGAAAATCGCAGCCCTCCCGTGCCCTGTGCGCTGTCCGTGGTGCTGAAACCGCGCCCGCCCCGCGCGCCCGGCCTTGCTGTCCCGGCGGGCACCCCCTACACCCTCCACCTACACCCTCCACACCCCACCTCACACCGCACTCGTGGACGCACAGACACACACTCAGCCTTCCACGGCCGCGCGCGTGATACCTGCCCACGGCTCACGCTACTGCCCACCGGTGTACACCGGCCCCGGGCGCACACGCGGACGCCACCTCTTCCCACCTCGTCCCAACACCCAACACAAATCCCCCCGGAGCACACGCGCGCGCGACCACCATGCAGACACACCCCTGGAGACACACCTCCCTCCCCAACCACAGGCTGGCGCCCCGGGAACCCCGCCGCCGTCACGCGCCCCTGTTCGCACACAGCCCACGGGGACACACGCTGCTCTCACTCTCCGGCCACCGCACGCACAGCCCGGGAACCAGGAGCGCAAACTCGGGTGGCGGTGGCCCCGCGCCGGCCCCGCTCCGCGCGCTCCACGCATCAACCGGCTGAATCTACAGCGGCGTCTACACACCCACCGCCACATGGGTGCACAGCCCGGGCCGAGTGGCTCCGGGAGACACGGCGTGGGGGCCCGCACGCTTCCCAGGCCCGGGCGCGCCTCCTCGCAGGCGGGGCGCAGGTGGACGCCGTGGGAGCCGCTTAACCCCCTCTCCCCCGGCCTCCCCTGGGCGCGTCCTTCCCCGGCGCCCTTCGTCTTCCTCCCTCCCGCTCCGCCGCCCTCCGGGGCCCACGTTCCCCTCTATTCGTCCTCTCCGCCCCTCCGTGCTCAGACCCCGGGTCCGCGGCCCGCTACGCGCGCCCACCCCACCAGCCGCGCCTCAGGGCGGAAGATGTCGAGGTCCCTGGGAGGGGGCGCCCCGGGGTCACCCCGGAGACCCCCCCAAAAGGCGGAGCTCGCGCGCCCGGGTCACTCCGGGGCGGGTCCCGGGCACGCCCGAGGTCACCGAGGAGCTCCGAGGTCACCCGCCGCGCGCGCCGCCCCGCCCTCCCCCGGCGCTCCAAGGACGGCCCCCGCGCCCCGCGCCCCGCGCCCTCCCCCGGAGGCGGCACCTGAAGTCGCTGTACGGGTGGATGATCCAGGCCCCCGCCGACTTGACGCGCTCCTGCTCGCGCTCCACGGCCTTCTGGCTGCCGAACATCCGCAGCGAGAACTTGTTGACGCCGGGCTGCAGGAGCGCGCCGAACTGGCGCTGCATGAAGCTGGCCTGGCTGCCGCGCGGCTCCCCCGCCGGGCCCGCCTCCTCGCCGCCCGCCTCCTCCGCCGGCCCCGGCCCCGGCGCGGGCCCAGAGGCCGCTCCGCGGCACGAGAACGACACCTTGGGCCCCCGCGCCGGGCCCTCGGGCCCCGCGGGGCTGCACTGCGGCTCGCCGCGCCCGCACTCGCCGTTCGGGCTGCCCTTGGCCGCGCTCGCCGCGCCCGGGGTTCCGGGGCGGCCGCACGAGCTGTCGCGGCTGCGGAGCCGGGCCCGCGGGCCGCCCTCGTCCGCCGCCGCTGCCGCCTCCGGGGCCGCCGCCTCGGGCCGGGGCGGCTGCTGGGGGGGAGCGGGCCCGGGGCCCGGGGGGGGCGCGGGCGGCGGCGGCGGCGGCGGCTGCGGCTGGGGGGGCGCGGGCGGCGGCGGCGGCGGCGGCGGCCCCGGCGCGGGGGTCGCGCCCGGGCTTTCCCCGGGCCGCCCGCCGCCCCCGCGCGCGTCCATGGCGAGGCGGCGCCGGGCAGTGCGGAGCGGAGCCGCCGCCGCCGCCGCCGGCCGGAGCCCGAGGGAGGGGGGAGGCGGAGGCGGGGCGGGGCGGAGCCGCGGGGGGCGGAGTCTGGGCGCGGGGGAGGGGCGGGGGCGGGAACCCCGCCTCCGCTGCGCCCCTCGCCGGTCCGCGCGCCGCCTCCGCCCCGCGCCAGGAAATTAGGGCCGCGGGGTCGGGGGCGCCCCAAGGTCACGCGGCCCGCGGCCTCGGAACCCCGCGCAGGCCTCTCTCCAGGAGGGGAAACTGAGGCCGGCCGAGCGGAAGGACGCGCCCAAGGTCACGGAGCCCGGCTGCCTGGCCGGGTCCGCCGCTCCCGCGCCGCGGTTTCCGCGTCTGTCCGGAGGACAGTGACGCGGGCCTGGAGAGCGAGGCCGCCGCGGCCGGCGCCTCCCCGCTCTCTGTGGGATTGAAGATTCCCCAATAAAAGAGCTTTTGCTTGGTCGCCTGTGGGCCCTGGACCGAGACCCTGGAGTGCGTGGGGAAGGGCAGGCGGGCTCGGGGGTCGGTCTGCGAATCTCGGACACTCCTTGCCCTGGTCGGCATTTGAGGAAACTGAGGCCAAGCCCAGCCTGACAAGGAAAACTGGAAGAGCTACGGCGCGTGTGGGGCTCCCACCCAGCCCTCAGCAGTGCCTGGGGAGCAGCGCAGGGGTTTCCTCTAGGTCTTGGGGAGGCTTTAGATTGGGGTCACAGGGAGACCCGGAGCCCCCTGCCCCGGGGCTGGCTCCTTCCCCGACCCCTCGGGCTCTGGCGCAACTGTGCCCCCAGTTCCTAGTCCCCAGCTCTGAGAAAGGAGCTTCCCGAAGCTCTGCTTCTGGGCCACAGCCATGCTGGGCATGAGGGCGGCCTGGTGTCAGGCGATGTGGGGCCTCTGTCCCCAGCCACTCAGCCCAGCAGACAGCCGGCAGAGGGCAGGTGAGGAAGTTGGCAAATGAGAGAGGGGAGAGACAGAGACACACAAAGTGGGAGCTGACCCCCACCTGGAGGCAGCAGGCCCTCCTGAGACCCTCTTGGCACCTGACTTGATGTCCTATCCGCCACGATGTCCTGTGTGCTGGGTGCCCCCACCCACCTGCACCTCTGTGCCACTGGGACAGACTCAGCCCCCTTCCTGCACACGGGAGGAACTCAGTGGTGCTTGAGGGAGGACCAGCATGTGCCCAACTCACAGTGGATGGGCTGAGCCTGTGTCTCACCCCGGCCAGGCTGCCCCACACCCTGGGGACCCCTTCGCCCCCATACTGGCCCGGCCGGCCTCCTCCGAACAGGCGGGTGGGACAGCTGTCTGTCCTGAGGCGGCGCGGGAGAGGCTAGGCGGGTGGCACAGTTGGCAGTGCCAGGCTGTGGCCCGCCCAGAGGCAGATGCGTGCTCCAGCTGAAGCGGGATCGTTTATGTTCACCCTGGGAAGATGTTAGGCTGGGCAGGTCGCCAGAGCCCCGGGACTCTCGGCTGGGAGCAGGGAGGAGGCGGACCCGCGAAGCCTGAAAACCCCAAGAACTGTCCCCCCACCCCCCTCCCGGGGCCTGGCAGTGCGAGAAGCAGAAAGACAACGCCTCCCCCAGGCGCCGGCGGTACGTGCAAGTCACAAGGGAGGCTGGCTCATGGTCCTTGTCACCAGATCTTGGTGACTCCTCTCCAATGCACAATCTCACCCAGGCCAGTACCTGCCAGGGTACACAGGGACCCTCCCGGCCTCAACGCGCTCGCTCTGATCCCTTGCCCAGGTCGGAGTACTCTGCATGTATCTGTTTATTATTTATTTTGAAGACTGAGTCTCACTCTGACCCCCAGGCTGGAATGCCGTGAAGTGACCTTGGCTCACCGCAACCTCCCCCTCCTGGGTTAAAGCAGTTCTCCTGCCTCAGCCTCCTGAGTAGCTGGGATTACAGGCACGCGCCACCATGCCAAGCTAATTTTTTGTATTTTTAGTTGAGACGGGGTTTCACCATGTTGACCAGGATGGTCTCGATCTCTTGACCTCGTGATCCACCCGCCTCAGCCTCCCAAAGTGCTGGGATTACAGGCTTGAGCCACCGTGCCTGGCCCTAATTTTGTTATTTTTAGTAGAGACAGGGTTTTGCCATGTTAGCCAAGCTGGTTGGTCTCAAACTCCTGACTTCAGGTGACCCACCCACCTTGGCCTCCCAAAGTGCTGGGATTACAGGTGTGAGCCGCCGTGCCGACTATGCTTATTTTAATTTTAAAAATATTTAAAAATCGAGACCAGTCTGGCCAACATGGTGAAACCTTGTCTCTATTAAAAATACAAAAATTGCCGGGCGCGGTGGCTCAAGCCTGTAATCCCAGCACTTTGGGAGGCCGAGGCGGGTGGATCATGAGGTCAACAGATTGAGACCATCCTGGTCAACATGGTGAAACCCCGTCTCTACTAAAAATGCAAAAAAAATTAGCTGGGCGTGGTGGCGCGTGCCTGTAATCCCAGCTACTCGGGAGGCTGAGGCAGGAGAATTGCCTGAACCCAGGAGGTGGAGGTTGCGGTGAGCCGAGGTCGCGCCATTGCACTCCAGCCTGGGTAACAAGAGCAAAACTCCGTCTCAAAAAAAAACAAAAAACAAAAAACAAAAATTAGCCAGGCGTGGTGGTGCACGACTGTAACCCAGCACTTAGGAGGCTAAGGCAGGAAAATTGCTTGAACCCAGGAGGCGGAGGTTGCAGTGAGCTGAGAGTATGCCACTGCACCCCAGTTCTGGCAACAGAGCAAGACTCCATCTCAGAAAAAATACACATATACATATTTATAGAGATGGGGTCTCACTATGCTGCCCAGGCTGGTCTTGATGTCCTGGGCTCAAGTGATCTTCCTGCCTTGGCCTCCTAGCGTGCTGCAATTAGGGTTCTGAGCCACTGTACCCGGCCTATCCATTTATTTAAAAAATACTTGGCTGGGGCTGGGGCTGGACTCCATGGCTCACCCCTGTAATCCCAGCACTCTGGGAGGCCGAGGCGGGCAGATCACCTGAGATTGGGAGTTTGACACCTGCCTGACCAACATGGAGAAACCCCCATCTCTACCAAAAATACAGAATTAGCTGGGTGTGGTGGCGCGTGCCTGTGATCCCAGCTACTCAGGAGGCTGAGGCAGGAGAATCACTTGAACCCAGGAGGCGGAGGTTGCAATGAGTCAAGATTGCACCACTGCACTCCAGCCTGGGCAACACAGCAAGACTCCGTCTCAAAAAGGAAAAATAAATAAACACCTGCTCCAGGGGCTGAGCATTTGGAGTGCAGCTGACTCGGAGAGCCAGGCAGGGGGGTAGCCGGCCATCAGAGTCACCCTCAGACTCACAGAGCCAGGCAGGGGGGAAGCCGGCATCACAGTCACCCTCAGACTCACAGAGCCAGGCAGGGGAGAAGCCGGCCATCAGAGTCACCCTCAGACTCACAGAGCCAGGCAGGGGGGAAGCCGGCATCACAGTCAACCTCAGACTCACAGAGCCAGGCAGGGGGGAAGCCGGCCATCAGAGTCACCCTTATGAGTAGCAAGTCAGATACCGTCCAGAGGGTGGGGAGAAACACTGGAGCAGGGAGAGGGTGAGGTGCTGGGGGAAGACCTGGAGGTGCTGTGGGCAAGCAGCATAGCCTGTGCAAAGGCCCTGACTACGCCAGGCTTGTGCAGGGAGATGGAGACCCAGGGCCTGGCTCCTCAGTCAGTAACATTGGTCTGTGGTCTAACGCCACAGTGCCTTTGGAAGAAAGCCCCATTGACTGGGCACGGCGGCTCACGCCTGTCATCCCAGCACTTTGAGAGGCAGAGGCGGGCGGATCACCTGAGGTCGAGACTTTGAGACCAGCCTGGCCAACATGGAGAAACCCTTTCTCTACTTAAAATACAAAAATAGCAGGGCGTGGTGGCAGGGGCCTGTAATCCCAGCTGCTCAGGAGGCTGAGGCAGGAGAATCACTTGAACCCGGGAGTCAGAGGTTGCAGTGAGCTGAGATCTCCCTATTGCACTCCAGCCTGGGCAATAAGAGCAAAACTCTGTCTCAAAAAAAAAAAAGAAAGAGGAGGGGGCTGGACGCAGTGGCTCACACCTGTAATCCCAGCACTTTGGGAGGCCGAGGCGGGTGGATCACGAGGTCAAGAGATCGAGACCATCCTGGTCAACATGGTGAAACCCCGTCTCTACTAAAAATACAAAAATCAGCTGGGCATGGTGGCACGTGCCTGTAATCCCAGCTACTCGGGAGGCTGAGGCAGGAGAATCGCCTGAACCCAGGAGGCAGAGGTTGCGGTGAGCCGAGATCGCGCCATTGCACTCCAGCCTGGGTAACAAGAGCGAAACTCCGTCTCAAAAAAAAAAAAAAAAAAAAGGAAAAGCAGCCCCGGTCCCTCCTGCAGTTTGTACCCCCTCCCCTGCCTATCTCTGGCCTTTGTGTGCCTGGGTCACTGACCTGGGACACCCAGACACCTTCTGCCCGGACCTCCTGCCATTCCCACCTCAGGGTCTCCCCTGCCTCCCTGACCCTGCAGCCCGGACCTCCTGCCATCCACCCCTCAGGGTCTCCCCTGCCTCCCTGACCCTGCAGCCCGGACCTCCTGCCATCCACCCCTCAGGGTCTCCCCTGCCTCCCTGACCCTGCAGCCCGGACCTCCTGCCATCCACCCCTCAGGGTCTCCCCTGCCTCCCAGACCCTGCAGCCCGGACCTCCTGCCATTCCCTCCTGAGGGTCTCCCCTGCCTCCCTGACCCTGCAGCCCGGACCTCCTGCCATTCCCTCCTGAGGGTCTCCCCTGCCTCCCTGATCCTGCAGCCCGGACCTCCTGCCATTCCCCCCTCAGGGTCTCCCTTGCCTCCCTGACCCTGCAGCCTCTCTTAGGCTTGTTGACCGGATTTACCAACCTGGGACCTACATTTCCTTCTTGGTCAGGACAGGTCCAGCTCAGAAGCCCTGGGAGCTTACACAATCATGGGGCCTTCTGAGTGAAAAGCAGTTTAAGACCAGGAAGGCAAAATCAGGCCAGGGCAGGCACGGAGCCAGCCTGGAAAATCTGCTGTTCAACTCGATGAATACTAAATGAGCCAGGTGAAGTGGCGTGTGCCTGCGGTCTGGGCTTCTCGGGAGGCTGATGTGGGAAGATCGCTTGAGCCCAGGAGGTCGAGGCTGTAGCGGGCCGAGATCACACCACTGCACAGCAGCCAGGGTGACGTAATGAGGCCCTGTCTCAAAAAAAAATTTATAATAAAACAGATGAGGCTGTGCGCGGTGGCTCACGCCTGTAATCCCAGCACTTTGGGAGGCCGAGGCGGGTGGATCACAAGGTCAAGAGATCGAGACCATCCTGGTCAACATAGTGAAACCCCGTCTCTACTAAAAATACAAAAAATTAGCTGGGCACGGTGGAGCATGCCTGTAATCCCAGCTACTCGGGAGGCTGAGGCAGGAGAATTGCCTGAACCCAGGAGGCGGAGGCTGCGGTGAGCCGAGATCTCGCCATTGCACTCCAGCCTGGGTAACAAGAGCGAAACTCCATCTCAAATAAATATATAAAAATAGATGAACTGTGCATGGCAGGCCTGGGCTGGAATTTACAGCTGAGGAACCAGAGGCTGAGGAAAGATGGTGACACTCCAGTCTCAGCCACACACACAAGCTCCATGACTGCCCCGTCCTGCTGGCCTGCGATTCATACAGGTTTCCTTCTCTCTGCTGAGCTCACCTTGCCCCAGGAGCCTGGTGAAAAAAGGGGGAAGACTGACGTCTGTCCACACAGGCCTGTTCCATCCCAGCTGCTCTCAGCCCTTCAGCTCTGCCTCCACCTCGAGGACAGCAGGCCCCTCCACTGTAGGCCTTGGAGGTGTCACTGTCCACCATGGGCCCCTGGAGTGGAGATACTGCTTAGAGCCACGGCCCAGAGTGGAGGGGCTGGGGGGGCTGGGAGCCTTCCCGTCCGGCAGGCCCTGCCCTTGTGGGCTCCCATTGGGGTGGGGGGATGAGAGGGAGGAGAGGCTACTTTGCCAGGACAGGGACAGGCAGCTTCACCCCATGGTGGAGTCCAGCCATGAATGAACTCGTGGTCCTGTGACTTCTCCACCTCACCTCTGGGGAAACCAAGGCAGGCTTGAATCATCACCAACACCCAATGATGGGTGGACATCCACGGCTGCACCCCCATGCTGGGGTACAGCTGCACACCATGGGCACTCACTAAATGCCTGTCACCCGGCACGGGGCTGCACGCCACGGGCACTCACTAAACGCCTGTCACCGGGCACGGGGCTGCACGCCATGGGCGCTCACTAAACGCCTGTATGAACAGGAACACGCAGTGCCGAGAGCTGGTGTGGAAGCTCCATGCTGAGTGGTTGTGCTTTTGTGAATCACGTTTATATTTTTGTGTGCAAAAAAAAGGCAAAGGAAGCACCTGGGTGCCAGTGGCTGCTTTCTCAGGGGGATGAACCTGCAGGGGCCCAGGTCCCCCATCTGCTGGTCGGAACCCCGCGAAGCCTGTCCGTCTCCCGAGGCTGCCATGACCTGCAACTTCCGCACCTTCCATCCAGTATAGAACACGAGGCATCCACTGGTACCGTGGGCCCACGCCTGGGGCCAGGGTGCAGCAGAAAGATGGGCAGAGCCTGGGACCCTTGGGGAGGATGGAGCCCCAGCAGGGAGGTAGGGGGAGACCGAGCCAGGGGACCATCTGGGCCGCATGCCTGGTGATACCCACCCAATGCGACCCTTCCCTATCCTCCTGTTGGCACCGCCTTCACCCCACCGGACCCTTCTGCCTGTTGTCCATGCACAACCTTGACCCAGGTATACTACAGGCGCCTAATTAACGAACGCAGAGTGAGCATCCGTATCCATGGGTCACTGAGCACACGTTCCGCCAGGCTGCCCGGGCAGAGGGGCTCCATGACCTGCTGGCCTCGCTCAGCATGGGCGTGTAGCGCCACCTGGTGGCAGTGGGTGGGGACAGCCTGGCTGCAGAACCCAGCTAGGGACCCGGTGCTGTCCTCAGCTCCTCCAAAGCTGTGCAGCATCAGCCCCAGAGCGAGGCTCGGGTGTGGGCCCTGCACGTCCCCTGCTTGCCTCCAGGAGCCAGCCCAGCACCCGGGATCAGTGCCGGGAGGGGCTGCCGCCCTTGGCACAGCCGTGTAAAGCCCGAGGCTGTGGGCTGCGTTTCTTGGCCTCTGTGACATTAAAACACCAGATTTCCCCAACACCGAAACACACTGCCTTCCCGTCCGGGCCCCCGGCTTCTCTGGGAACCCACCCAGCGTCTTCTGTCAACCTGTACCCTGAGACCCCCGCTCAGACCAGTTAGGCCCAGTGCTGCAGGCTGACAGCATCTGCCAACCTCCCTCCAGACCGGCTCACTGGCCCTGTGTCTTGGTAACCTCCCCGCTCCATGCTCCTGGACCCTTCAGCCCAGCAACTGTGTGTGTTCCATGTGCTGGGGGCAGGCACCAGGGGGCTCAGCCTCAGGCCCAGCTTCACACACCTGCTCTCCAGGAGCCAGCAGAACCACCCCCTGGACTCTGCTGGAGCAGCCTGCCCAGGAGGATGGGTGCAGACAGCTTCGGGGAAGGGCAGGCAGCAGAAAACCTCAGCCTCCATCGGAGAAGGAAAAGTAGGCTCGGGGAAGGCTCTGGTCAGCGCCCACGCTCTGTGAGGCTCTCAGGCGCTGGGGCAGTCCCGGCTGCCTTCCAAGTTTGCTGACAGCCTCAGGCCCTGTCCAGCCCATGACCCCAGCACCCCAGCCCCCACTGGGATCTCAGCAGACCCATTCTCGCTGCAAAATCCCAGCACTGGATGGGCCCCTGTTGCGGCCACCAGAGCCCAGGGGCAACCCAACCCAAACAGGCATAGACAGGGGCCAGGAGAGGGTGAGGGTGGGGCATCTTTATTGTGGTGGTGGGTGGGAGACGGGTTCCCACGTGAGCCTTGGCGCTGTGAAGAGCCGGCCGCCCTCCAAGAGGCGAGCTGGGGAGGGGCTTCTGCGGTTCTGGAGTCCTGGCTACAGCACCAGCTCCCCGGCAAACCCCCTCCAGAGCTGCCCAGACAGCCGACCCCAGACGCATAGACACAGAGGGGTTGGGGGTCACCTGAGGCCAGGACAGGGTCGCCATCAGCGTGGACAGGCGAGTCCCCTGTGGCCAAGAGATCAGAGTCGTCCCTGAGGCTGAGTCACACACAGACCTGTGGCCTTCGGGAAGTGAAACATCAAAGCGCAAGGTGCGACCGGACAGCACTGGCTTCAGACAGGCAGGACGCGGGCCGTCGGGTGACCTGTGACCTCCCACAAAGGGCAAGGACTTGGCACTGACTCGAGCCTCCCCACCCCGCCACGACTCAGACCCAGAGGCTCAAAGAACCACAGACGGGACTGCAGCAAGTCCCTGGGCTCTCATGAAACAGCTAAAGAGGAAAAACCTAAGAACGAAATCCTGAACGTACAAAACCCTACTTTTTAAGGAAGAAAAAAAAAAAGAAGAGGGAAGCGTATGGTGGGAATCTATGGGGTGGGTTTTAAGAGGTGAGAACTTGGAATCTTGCAAGCACTGGGAGTGGGCTCCAGTTGCAGCAGACATGGGAGCAGGGAGCGTCCTCAGGCCACCTGGGGGCAGGGAAAGGGCGCTCAGAGTGGACCCTCCCAGCGACCCACAGGCGGGACCCAGGAGCCCACCGCTACACCAAGCCCACTGCCCACAGGAGGAGCCCCCGCCCACCGCCCCCGGCCCCGCCCACCACACCTGGCTCAGGAGTTGTTCCTCTGGCGGATGTTCTTGCCTTTGTCGTTCAGGTGCTTCCCGCTGCTCTTCCTGGGGCACGAGGGGCCGGGTGAGAGGGTGTCCCCCACGAGTCACCCCTGCCCGCCCCGAGCCCCCGGGACCCCTGAGCACTGAAGCCTGGGGGGGGTCTGCCTTTGCGTTTTAAAGGCCTAGGGCAGCAAGCAGCGGCTCCTTAAAACCCCCAAGCCCTAGAGCCAGGACTTACAGGGGTGCGGAGCCTGCGTCGTCATCTGAAGAGGGACGGCCACCATGAAAAAGAGGACGAGAGGACAGCCTGTCAGTGCTGGCCCCACTCGGGCAGCTGTGCCTCGGGCCCCGCCCTCGGTGTCCCCAGGGGTGGCTCCGGGCAGCTCAACAGCCTCGGCCATGCGGATCTTCTGGGTCTTCTGAGCCCCTCCCCACGGCGAGCTGTCCCAGCCCCACACATGGGGCTCACCCCTGCCCTGCAGTGCTTTCCAGGAGCCGCCACAGGCCCCACACAGGCACATGCAGCCCGAGGGGCAGAACAGCTGTGCGGGGTGCGGCGGGCAGGGGCTGCCAGAACCCAGGGCCGACCTTGGGTTCCCAAGCCCCGTCATGCAACCTAGACAGAAAATGGCCCCTGGTGCCACAGCCTTGGGCTCTTGGCAGCTGCCTCGAGATCCAGCAGAGCAGCCAGGGCTGGCTTACCACGGAGAACGCCAACTTGCAGCCAAGTGAGGGAGAGAAGGGCCGGGTGAGGCTGCAGGGCGGAGCTGCCGCCTCTCCCTCCTCCCGGGTGGGTCCAAGCCCACTGCCCACTGAGCCGCAGCTGCCCCGGGATGGACCCTCCACCCCACACTTTCCTTCAGGGTCCCAGGAACTCCCTGCCTGGGGCTCATTGGTTGGAAGCTCTGGGTCAGCAGTGGAGCTCCAGGGACTGAGCAGGAGTGGCCCCAAGAGCAGGGCGTGTGGGCAGGGGGCTCAGGCTCACCATCCAGGACATCGTCGGGCTTCCGGCGCTTCTCGTAGATGAAGATGATGGTGACCAGCACCAGCACCTCAGCCACGATGCCCAGGAAGGGCCAGAGGGCGGCCAGGTGGCTGCGTACGCGCAGCGTGATGACGGCCTGGTCGGTGCCCTCGGAGCTGGTGCCGTTGCACGCATACTTGCCGGGGTCGGCCTCCATGTTCAGGTTCTTGATGTGCAGCTCGGACCGGCCCTGCGAGGAATTCACGAAGAACCTGCTCTGGGAGCCGTTCACGATGACCTGAGGGGATCAAGGACAGAGAGGCTGAGCCCGGGATCCCCAGCTCTGGCCCCTCACCTGGTCCTGAGGGCTGAGCCTGGGACCCCCAGCCCTGGCCCCTCACCTGGTCCTGGGGGCTGAGCCCGGGACCCCCTGCCCCGGCCCCTCAGCTCCTCACCTGGTCCCCAGCGTCAGTGATCCTGTACCACACCCAGTCGGTGACGGGAGGCGCAGACTTGGACTCGCAGACCAGCACGGCCGTCTCGCCCTCGTTGATGTGTTCCGACGACTTCACAGCCTTCACTCGGGGGGGCCCTGACAGGAGGGTGAGAGAGGAGCCTGGAACCACAGGGCCCGCAGGAGAGGCCGTTCCCCTCCAGCTTCTCCAGGCAGTGGACAGTCGGTGGTGCCCAGCAGCCCTAGCCGCAGACTCACCTCGGAGCGGGATGCTGGCCCTGCCCGTGGGCTCAGGGAGGAAGACGCAGAAGTACTCTCCCCAGCGGTCATCGGGGTCCACCCTGCAAGCACAGCAGGTGGGTGAGCCATGTACCGGCTCTGCAGGACGCCTCCCAGGACCCAGGGTCCAGTGAAAAAGCAAGGCTGAACCTCAGCACAAGCCCTGGTCTCCTGCAGACCCAGGGAGAGCCAGGCTGGCAAGACCCCATGGGAAGCGGTGAGAAAACCAACAGACGGCCCCCGCCCCGGACCGACGCACCCACACCTCTGGTCCCTACTCTGCACCCTATACCCTGTGACCATCTTCCCGGCTCTGTGCTCCCAGGGCCGCCCCAGCCCAGTTATGACGAGGCTCCAGCCATGGTGGCTGGCGTCTGGGGTCCGCAAAGGGCAGGCCTCAGGGTGGCACTCTCTTGTGTCAGAAGCACGCGCTCATGAGTTGCACGTGTGCCAAGGACCTGGCAAGGGAGCAACAAGCTTAGCTCCCAGGGGCGTCCCTCAGGACCTTCCCTGGGGCTTCCCTCTGGGGGTCTGAGCAGATCTCATCCCTAACTTCCGCCTGGATCAAGCCTGTTCTCACGGCCCACAGAGGCCGATGGCAGCAAGAGAGCGGTGAGAAGGCCACGCAGTGGCGTCGCGGGGCCCGGCACTCACTCCAGGTTCATTCTCTGTCCAGGCTGCGAATCCTCCTGCAACACCACGTCCCCTTTCAGCCAGCGGTGCCCGGTGACCTCTGTGGCGTTGTCATTCAAAGAGCAGGTGAGGAGCGTCTTGGAGCCGACGTTTTCTACGGAGGTGGAAACTGCCCCAGCTGCGAGGCCCGGGGAGACGCAGTCAGCACACAGTGGAAGAGCACAGCCCGCGCTGCCTGCCTGACACCCAGGAACCCACAGCTCCTCCCTGAACGACTTGTTTTCGGCTCTGAAACTACACCGTGGCCCTGACACCCCGAGGGGAACATCTGGCTGCACCTCCGGAAGGTGCCTTTGCTGGCAGCTGATGGGCCCCACCCAGTGATCTCCTGTCCAGAGACACAGGAGGCTGGGTCCCAGGTGTCGGGACAGACAAGGCACCCACCCCGTCCCTGAGCAGGGACCAGGGCACAGAGCTCTTGAGCAGCCCCAGCACAAACTGGAAATTTCTGTCTGAAAAAAACAGCCAAATCGCCCCCCGGCCAAGGCTGCCTCCCTGGCCAAGGCTGCCTCCTTCGACGGCCCCTCAGATGCCCGCTGGTGGAGACCTGCCCCTGGATGGGGCTCCCAGGTGACCCCATCCACCCGATTCCAGGCTGACGGCACTGCAGCACTGGGAGCACCCGGTTCTCCTGCCAATCCCCATCGAGCAAATCTCTTGGTTAATTTACAATGTTCCGGTTAGGACTGAATGTGAAAATCCCTTAGGACGAGACGCTGAGCAGGACACAGAAGGTTCTGAGGGCAGCAAGCCTGGACTGAGGCTGGAGGGCCCCTCAGGCTGGCAGTGTGGACAGACACTCAGGAAAGGAGCCAGGCAGGCGCCCGGGGGAGCAGAGAGGGACGGCGGCACAGACAGTGCAGGGTCGAGGGAGGACAAGGACCCACCTGCTGGAAGGCAGAGCTCTGCCCGCCCCAAGCCAGGTCGCCCAGCGCTGGCGGTCAAGGGCGAGTCCACCCCTTCAGGTCTGGGCCCCCCTGTCCCAGTGGTGGGCCCAGCAGGGCAGAGAGGGGCAGGAGGCGTCTGGGTTCTATCAGCAGGAGCGGCACAGGAGGGAACCAGGGAGGCGGGGAGGGAGGCGCCCGCCACTCACGTTGCAGGACTAGCACCACCGCCTGGGCGCGGACCCACTTGACCCTGGGCGCCCGGGTCAGGTGGTTGCGGTCCGGGTCGTTGCTGGCCCGGCACTCGTAGGTGCCCGAGTCCTCCTCTGCGAGCGTGTCGATGGAGATGGTGCTGGCTGCGTGCTGGCGGTAGGTGGCGTGGATGTGGACGCGGTTCAGCCGGGCGCCGTCCCAGAGCTGGGAGCAGGTGTCGTTGGGACCGTGCCCCTCAAACCACCACTGGATCTCCGGCACTGGGCTGCCCACAGCCTCACAGTGCAGCTCCACACGGCCCCCCACCCGCCTCTGCTGGGACAGTGGCGCCCGCACAAAGCCAGCTGCAGGGAGAGCGGGCGCGGAGCCTCGTTAGTGCCGCCCTGGGGAAGGCCTCGCCCACAGGACTCCTGGCCAGGGCTGGGGGGAAGCTGCTTCCTTTCGGCTTGTGGGAGAGTGACGGGGCTGGGCTGCCAAAGGGCAGCGCATGAGAAAGACCGTGGGAGCCACCGTGGACGCCCCCCTGACTCCCACCCTCCCAGCAGACACACTGGCTTCTGATGGCATAAATGAGGAACCACACGTAGCTTAAAACACAAAACCCATGAAACTGGGCAGAACAGCCAGGAATTTAAGCCCCAAGGGCCTCTCTGTCAGAGGACTGTGGGCATGGCTGCCCCAACTTCCAGACTGCCGGTCCCCAGGGCAGCATCCTCTGCCTTCTGCCCGATACCCTGACCCGAGAGATCCGGTGAGCTGCAGAGAAAATAAAATCCCAAAGCCCACAGGGGCAGGGGGCTCTGTCCAGGAGGCCCCACTCAGGCTGTTAGGACGGCCTGCGGGTGGAAAGTGCTTGTGTCCTCAGCAATCTCAGGGCAGCCACCCAGAGAAGAGGATTTGGGAAGACGGAGCCGGCAGTGCCTCAGGGACCGTTACCACTGGCCCACCACCACTCCTCCCTTCAAAACAGAAGGGAAGGCCCCGGAGCTGAAAGGAGCACAGGAGAATCCACACGCACCCTCCCACTGTGCCTGGCACCCGCCTGCCAGGAACTGCCCTGCCCTGGGGAAGCACGGGGAGCAGGCGCGGGGACTGTGCAGCCCTTCCCTAGAACATCCAGGGTAAACATGCCTCGCCCACCTGCGCCACCTCCTGCCAGGACCGTGCAGCCCGTCTTAGAACACTCAGAGGAAGTGGGGAATGGGCGCACCCCACCCACCTGCAACTCCTGCCAGGACTGTGCAGCCCCTCCTAGAATGCCCTCTGAGGTCAGGCTCCCAGACACCGCTATAACATATGCATTCAAGGACACACGTCCGCAGACACACACCACACAGGCACACACACATGCTCACAGCTCTGAGACTGCATAGCAGTGCACATGTCATGGGCCCCAAGGCCCCAGGGACAGGGGATGTTCACAGCTGACCCCCTGAGGTGAACTCCAGGCAGGAGCAATTAACAACGTTTGGCAGTGCCACTTTCACAAAGGGTCCCCTCCTGGTAACCTACATTTCCCAGACTGCAAAACAGCAGCGACGTGCAGAGCCTGGCGAGGCGAGTCAGGGCAGGAAGTGCAGCCAGAGGCAGCCCGGCTGGCAAGCTCCTTCCGGCCCCACAGTGGCCCCCTCCTTCTCCTCCTCCTCCTCCTCCTAAGGCCCTGCGAAGCTGCCCTCCACATCCTCCTCACTGTCCTCACCCGGGGTGCTAAGGCAGGGCTGGCTCCTGAGTCAACACACCCCACCTTCAGGCAGGGCAGGGCCAGGGCACGGGGCAGAGCAGAGGAGCTGGAGGCCTGCAGCCAACCTGCCCCCACCCACCTTCCCCCCAGGCCCTGAAGAGGCCCCTGTGATCCAGCCTCCAGCCTCGGGAATACCCAGGCGTCCTGTGGGAAACCGAGCCAGCCTGTGCCTCGAAGTCCAAGGCTCTGAGGGGCCGTCTGCACCGGTGACCGTGCTGCAACTGGGTCCTCCACCTTCTCAGCGGGTGGACGGCATCACTCCCAAAGGGACCAAAAGGCTCTGGACAGAACAACCGCCCGTGGGCCCTCCGTTTGCTGATGGCGCTGGTGTCTGTTCTGAAGTGCCACTAGTGTGGGCCACAGGAGGAGAAAGCCTCCATAGAGGCTCCTGGGTACGCTGGAGAGCCCCCCACCCCACCGGGCAACCCGCCCTCCATGCCAGGAGCCTCCACTCAGGAGCACTAGGAGGAGGGGCAGTGCCTGACTCTCAGCCACAGGCCCCAGAAAGGTGAGCATTCGATTCTGGCCACATGACCCATAACCCATGTTCTCAAGTAAAGTCACCTTCATCTAAAAACAGCCACCGCCTCCTTGCCCACTCGGCAGCCAGGCTGGGGCTCAGGGCCAGGCAGGCCTCGTGGTACACAAGCAGCCCCACAGGATAAGGCCGGCCGCCCGCCCCCATCCGCCCTCCTCCCCACCCACTGCAGCACTCTGACAGAAGCCAGAGAAAACAGCTCTGGGAGGCGTCTGCGGGCACCTCCCTCCCCACCCCACCTGCTGCAGCCAGGCACTCCCACTCCTCCCATAGGAGGCTCAGGGGTGAAGCCCTCTGCCCTTGGGACCCAGCCGGCACACTGGGGCCCTCCAGTCTGACAAGCCCACAGGAGCTATAGATGGCCAACCTCAGGCACTTGCCCCACCCAAGCCCCCAGAGGCCCCTGAAGCAAGGTTCAGGAGACGCAAACAGGGTCACGAATACACAGAGCAAACATCAGTGTCCACCCCACGCAGGACACAAGGCTGTGTAGCCCAGACCTTCGGGTCTTCAGGAGTCAGTCCCCAGCAAAGGTGGCGTTTGTTAAAAGCACAGAGACGCTCCGAGGACGGGGACCCACGTCCCATCCCCCACACGTGTGCTCAAGCAAACACACACACCCAAACACACGAGAACACACTTGCACACACGCACACCTGCACAGCAGCGCTCCCGGCATCACAGACTCCACCTGCTTCCCAGGCTGCAGCTCTGGCCAGTAAGCCCCATGCTAAGCTTTCTGCTGAGGACAAGCGATTCTCAGTCTTGAGCACCAGAGGAACAAAACCGTGAACCACCCTACCCAGCAGGGAGAGACCAAAGGTCTTTCACCCACTTGGCTGTCAAATTAGCTCAACGTAGGAACCTCCTGTTGTGCTTGAAAACCAGTCAAGCCTGGCTGGCTCCCGACACTGAGGCCGTTTGCACAGGGCTGGGGTGGACTTATCTCCAGCCTTCACCTCCCCAGTGGGCTCCTATCTGTCTCCCCAGAGAGCTGGCCAGGGTGCTGAGGCCAGGCCCTTACCCAGGAGGCATTCGATAAACGGCCACTTTGGTGAGGATGAAATCTCAGAAGTGGGTCAGGAGTTCGCTGGCAAAGCCTCTACAACAGGGAGCCCCTCCCCAGCCCCTGCCCAAGGCCCCTACAGCTCAATGCCCAGGACAGCGGCTCAGAGCACTGGTTCTTGACCCTTCAGGAGCCCAGATCCTCCGGCTCTGCACCTTGTTCCCAACACTTCGGTCACTATAAATCTTTTTTTTTCTTTTCTTTTCTTGAGAGAGTCTCGCTCTGTCGCCCAGGTTGGAGTGTACTGGCCCAATCTCCACTCACCACAACCTCTGCCTCAAGTGATTCTCCTGCCTCAGCCTCCCGAGTAGCTGGGATTACAGGCGTGCACCACCACACCCAACTAATTTTGTATTTTTAGTAGAGACAAGATTTCTCCATGTTAATCAGGTTGGTCCCAAACTTCTGACCTCAGGTGATCCGCCTGCCTTGGCCTCCCAAAGCGCTGAGATTATAGGCGTGAGTCACCTCGCCCAGCTTAGGTTTTGTAACAGAGACAGGGTTTCACCCTACTGGCCAGGATGGTCTCGATCTCTTGACCTCGTGATCCACCCGCCTAAGCCTTCCAAAGTGCAGGCATTACAGGCGTGAGCCACCGAGCCCAGCCGGTCACTGTAAGTCTTTATAACCCAGAACCAAATGAGGAACTCAGTAAAGGAAGCCAGTCTGCCCCCACAAGCAAGAATGGCTGTCGTGCTTTTCTCCTGGAAAATCACACCTCGATCCGTTTCCCAAGTACACTCTCCAAACCACGTCTGCCCACCCCCAGCACAGGGCCCCCTCCTGCCAACAGCACTGAAAACCGAATGCCCTGTCAGACTCTGCTAGAAACGACTTTCTCACTGTTTCCTGCGCTCCCTGTGACCTTGGAACATGAGCTCCCCACAGGCCTCAGTTTCCTCGCCTGTGACACGAGGAGGGGCATCCAGAGACCACCTCCTCGTGTGTCCTGAAGCCAGGCGCCTCTGGAGGGAGGCTCTGCGTTCCGTTCCAGGCAGGGCCCCTCGAGGGAGCAGCCTGCCAGGGCTTAAGAGTGCGGGAGAGCACCCGGGGGCAGGTGCACACCCGAGGCAGCAGGCCAGGGCCAAATCCCGCGAAGAACGATAATCCCTTCCCGATCCCGAGGGCTGACCCGCTCAGGGCCTCCGCGTGCACTTGGAGGAGAAAAGCCCCTTTTCCAGATGAGGACGCCAAGATGACCGCTCCAGGCAGCACGGGCCCTGCGGGGGTCCCGGAGCGTCCCAGAGTCGGGGGGGCGGGGGTCTCTGACCCTAACGCTCCCAGGCGAGGGGGGGGGTCCAGTCCCCGCAGGACGGGTCGGGCAGGCACCAGCCCAGCCCCTGACCCCTGGCTCCAGGCCAAAGGGGGCGCTCACCGAAGCTCTGTCCGGTGGGACGGGGGTTAGGGCACCTGCAACCCGCTTCGCGACCGCCCTGACCCGGGGTGACGCGAGATCCTCCACCGCCGCCGGGGAGCGGCCGCCGAGAAGCAGGACGCTCTGTCCCCAGACCGAGACCGGCCGGGCCAGGACCCCCCCCAGCTCCCTAACCCCAACCCCAAGCAAGCGGCTTCACGCCCACACGGAGGCCCAGGAGCCGGGCGAGCAGCCCCGGGAGGACCCCCAGCTCCCCTCAAACGCTGGGACTTCACCGCCAGACTCCAAGCTGCCGCGGGAAACCTCCGGGGCCGGCCTTTCGTTCCCCGGGCCGCCCCGCGCCGAGGCCCAGGCTCCCGTGGGCCTCGGGTCCGCACCTCAGCCTCCACCCGCAGCCTCCATTCCCGGCCCCCGCCGGCCCGCACCCCCGCCCCTCGCCAACTCCTCACCAGCCCCGGAGGCTCCGTCGACGCCCAGCAGCGCGAACCCCAGCAGCACGAGCCGCGCGGCCGCCATGATGTCCCGTCCCCGCCAGCACCGTCGCGACCAACTGCCGCCGCCGCCGCCCGCGGCCGCTATAAGAACCCGCGGGGGGGGGGGGGGGGGGGAGGAGGTGCGGGCCGAGCGCGCGCACGCACGGCGGCGTCGCAGGGGCGGGGCGCGCGCGGGGCATGCCGGTCGCTATACCTGCGCACGCGCGCACGCACACGCGCTAGCTCCCGCAAGCTCCAGCTACGGAAGCCGGCCGGCGGCGCAGGGGACGCGACGTTGCTAAGAAACGGGAGGGGCCTAAGGGACGCGCCTGGAGCATGCGCATTTCTTCCTCCCTGCTTTGAAAGTTTAGAGGGCAGGGCGGTGCGCTCGAGGGGGTTGAAACCTTAAAAGGGTATTACCCAGATTTTATCGAAATGAACCCCCAGCTGGCCGCTGTGGCTCACGTCTGTAATCCCAGAGCCCTGGGAAGCCAATGCAGGCGGAGCAGGAGGTCAAGAGATCGAGACCATCCTCACCAACGTGGTGAAACCCCGTCTCTATTTTTTTTTTTTTAATTAAAAAAAAAAAAAAAAAAATTTGAATCTGAATCTTAGAAAAATGAATAATTTGTTTGTATAAACGTCTCTCCACCATCTGGGCATAGTTATATAAATAAAGTGGTTGCTTTTGGGAGGCAGAGGCGGGCGGATCACCTGAGGTCAGGAGTTCGAGACCGGCCTAGCCAACATGGAGAAACCCTGTCTCTACTAAAAATACAAAAAGTAGCGGGGTCTGATGGTGGATGCCTGTAATCCCAGGAGGCGGCGGTTACAGTGAGCCCAGACTGTGTCACTGCACTCCAGCCTGGGCGACAGAGCGAGACCTGTCTCAAAAAACAAACAGCTGGGTGCGGTGACGCATGCCTGTAGACCCAGCTACTCGGGAGGCTGAGGCTGGAGGATGGCTTGAGCCCAGGAGTTCTGGGCGGTAGTGTGCTATGACGATTGGGTGTCCGTGCTAAGTTCAGCATCAATATGGTGACCTCCCGGGAGCAAGGAACCACCAGGTTGCCTAAGGAGGGGTGAACCGGCCCAGGCTGAAGCAGAGCAGGTCAAAACTCCCGTGCTGATCAGTAGTGGGATCGTGCCTGTGAATAGCCACTGCACTCCAGCCTGGGCAACATAGAGACTCCGTCTCAAAAAACTAAATAAATAAATTAAGGGAAAAAAGGCCACAGAGTGTGTAATCACGTTTCTATGAAAAGTCCAGGACAGGCTGGGCGCGGTGGCTCACGCCTGTAATCCCAGCACTTTGGGAGGCCGAGGCGGCTCACGCCTGTAATCCCAGCACTTTGGGAGGCCGAGGCGGGTGGATCACGAGGTCAAGAGATGGAGACCGTCCCGGTCAACAAGGTGAAACCCCATCTCTACTAAAAATACAAAAAATTAGCCGGGCATGGTGGCGCGTGCCTGTAATCCCAGCTACTCGGGAGGCTGAGGCAGGAGAATTGCCTGAACCCAGGAGGCGGAGGTTGCAGTGAGCCGAGATCGTGCCATTGCACTCCAGCCTGGGTAACGAGCGAAACTCCGTCTCAAAAAAAAAAAACCAAAAAAATAAAATAAAATTAATAAATAAAACTATGGTATGTGGGTAACTGAGGGACCAGCATAGGGTGGGCAGGGGTGGAGAAACTCCATCCAGGGAGGTGGCTGGACCCAGCCAGGGCAGGAAGATGCTGGACAGAGTGGGGGAGGGGGGGAAACAGAGGCCCAGGACTTGTGATAAAGGGGGCTGGGGCTAAGGGCTTCACTCTGGGAGACCCCCTCCTAGGGGTGACTAACAATTGGGAGACTCAGAACTGCCCAGCACCAAAGAGCTCCCGCCTGGCAGCAGGCTTGGAAGGTCCTCCCTGGGGGTCTGAAGCTACGTGCGGAATGAGGACAGACTGCGGACGAGGCCCAGCAGGGCCAGCTGGCTTCAAAGCCCCTCCAGGGCTGTAAACAGGCACGGGGCCTGGCCCAACGCCTGCCCCCTCCTGAGCCCTCCCTGGCAAGGCGCCAGTCTGGCCCCAGGTCAGGTCTGGAAACTTGGTCATTGTTTACAAAATAAAGCCTGTGACTGATTTGAGACTTGAAGACCCCGTTTTCTGGTCCTTTCCCTGGAAAGCCATTTCTGACCCACAGGCAGAGCCAGAAACTCCCCCTGCCCCCCACCCCCCCAAAGATTCTCCTGCCTCAGCCTCCGGAGTAGCTGGGATTACAGGAACCTGCCACCAGGCCCCGCTAATTTTTGTATTTTTAGTAGAAATGGGGTTTCACCATCTTGGCCAGGCTGGTCTCGAACTCCTGACCTCAAGCGATCCACCCGCCTCGGCCTCTCAAAGTGCTGGGATTACTGGCGTGAGCCACCGCGCCCGGTCCCAGTTAATTTAAATCTCAGATTTTGAAAAGGCAGTGGTTTTTTTTGTTTTTTTTTTTGGTTGTTATGCATTAGTGTAAGTATATCCCAGATGCTGCATGGGATATACTTATACTAAACGTTATCTGTTGCATATTGGAAACTCAAGTGTAACTGGGCGGCCTGGATTTCGGCCGCCTCCCCCACCTGGCGGCGAGCCCCCCCCCGCCACTCCCCTTGTCTCCTCTGCCCCTGCTGGCCCTCCGGGTGCCCTGAATTGGCGGCGGGTAGGTGAAGGCCCAGGATGCTCACTGGTCCTCCCGCCTCTGCCCTGAGGCTTGGAGCTTCTCTGGGAGGGAGATTTCGGATCTGGACCTCTTTCTCAAGCAGAAGTGTGACGAGGGCCACTCTTTTCTCCATCCGGCCTCACTCTTCAGCTCTGCCCTGAAGGGAGATGCCTGCCCTGGTTACAGCCGGCCGGACACAGTGGCTCGCCGGTAATCCCGGCTCTTTGGGAGGCTGAGGCAGGTGGATCACCTGAGACCAGCCTGGCCAAGGTGGCAAAACCCCATCTGCACTAAAAATACAAAACATAGCCGGGCACGGTGGCACGTGCCCGTAGTCCCAGCTACTCGGGAGGCTGAGGCAGGAGAATCTCTTGAACCCGGGAGGTGGAGGTTGCAGTGAGCTGAGATCGTGCCACTGCACTCCAGCCTGGCTAGAGAGTGAGATTTCGGCGGGGAGGGGAGCCCAAAGCTCCTCCTGCTTTGTTCCAGCAGTCAGACTCCTCCCGGCCTCCCTCAGGCCCGGCCCCACCACCTCTGTGGGCCCTCCGTCCGCAGTCTTTTTCCGTTATTTGTTTCAGAGGGAGTCTTCCCCGGTCACCCAGGCTGGAGTGCAGGGGCGCGATCTCAGCTCACTACAACCTCCGCCTCCCGGGTTCAAGCCATTCTCCCGCCTCGGCCTCCCGAGTAGCTGGGATTACAGGCACGCGCCACCGCGCCCGGCTAATTTTTGTCTTTTTAGTGGAGACGGAGTCTCGCCATGTTGGCCAGGCTGGTCTCAAACTCCTGACTTCAAGTGATCCACCTGCCTCGGCCTCCCAAAGTGCTGATATGACAGGCGCAGGCCACCTCGCCCAACCCTTAATTAAATGTTTTTTTTTTTTTTTTTGCTTTGAGACTCTTGCGCTGTCTGCCAGGCTGGAGTGCAGTGGCACAATCATGGCTCCCTGCAGCCTCGACCTCCTGGGCTCAAGCCAGCCTCCCACCTCATCCGCAGGGTAGCTGGGACCGTGGCCGGGAGCCACCACGCTGGGCTACTTTTTATGTTGTTTTTGGTAGAGCTAGAGCCTCCCTATTGCACAGGCCAATCTCAAACTCCAGGGCGACAAGGGTCGGCCTCAGCCTCCCGAGGTGCCCAGCCCCATCCTGAATTTTTCCCTTGCATTTTTCTGAGGGGCTTGGCTTTGAATTCCAGCCACTTTCCAGGCGGTTGAGACACTCCCCAGTGATTGGTGGGAGGAGTGCGGGTTTCGCCCTAAGGGCACTGTATGGGTCCCCACGTGACTGACTGGTGTCCAGGAGGAGGCAGCGGCCAAGGTCAGGAACCCAGACCGGGAGGGCCGAGGCCGGGGAGAGGTCAGTCCATGCAGAGATGGGTGTGGCGGGCAGGACGGCGACCCCCAAACGGTGTGACGCCGAGAACCTGCGAATGTGGCCCTGTTTAGAAAAAGGGGCCTTTACGAGGCCGGGCGTGGTGACTCACACCTGCAATCTGGGCCCTTTGGGAGGTCGAGGTGGGTGGATTACTTGAGGTCAGGAGTTCAAGACCAGCCTGAACAACATGGCGAATGAACTCCATCTCTACTAAAAATAAAAAATTAGCTGGGCTTGGTGGCGCATACCTGTAATCCCAGCTACTCGGGAGGCTGAGGCAGGAGAATCGCTTGAACCTGGGAGGCGGAGGTGGCGGTGAGCCGGGATGGCGTCATTGCACTCCAGCCTGGGCAACAAGTGTGAAAATCCATCTCAAAAGAAGAAAAAAGAGAAAGGGCCTTTGCAGACGTGGCTGAGTGGTGTCCTGAGAGGGGACCATCCGGGTTGCCCAGGTGACATGGGTTCTTGCCAGAGGGGAAAAGAACCCAGGGGAGGCCCCCAGCACGTGCAGGCAGACACTGGAGTGATGGGGGGACTGGAGTTCCCAAAGCTGGGAGGGTCCTCCTTGCAGGAAGGGTCCTCCAGAGACTCCCGAGGGAGCCAAGTCTCACCCAATCTTGACTTCGGATTTCTGGGCCCCAGAACTGAGTGAGAACCAATTCCTGATTCGTTTTGCAGCTGAGGAGACCCCCTCCTGTGGGGAGGAGCTGGGATGACGGATTCCACACCTCCCTGGTGATGGAATGATGGGGGGGGTGCGCCGAGGGTGGACGTGGGGGTTGGGGGGCCCTTCTTGGGGCAGGCCGGGTGGGCTGGAGTCCAGATGACCCCTGGAAGCAGGAGGCCGGGCCATCTGCCCAGCCAGCCAGGCACCGGGCTGGGCTTTACGGCCGGGCGAGCCAGGACAGAGGGAGCCGCCTTGCAGGGTTTGCAGGGGCAGCTGCCCTCTCTCCTCCGTGGCTCCTCCCCAAGCCAGCTGGTATTTTCCCGGAAAAATGAGGATTTCTACACATGGACCTGAGGCCTCCATAATCATT